GGGGGGGGGGGGGGGGGGGGGGGGGGGGGGGGGGGGCAGGCACAGGCTCAAACGAGGCTGCCCACGCGCAACTTGGCATATAGGCAGAGCATGCGACTGGGGAGGGATCTTGGCGTTTGCGCGCAATGTCGGCACGCTGCTGTGCTAATGCACGTGCTGGAGCAGATGCAGCGCTAGGAAGCCAGGTTGGCGCTAAGCGGTGGAGCGCAGTCTGGGCGCAGGGCGCTGGCAGCCATAGCCAGGCTGCAGGAGGGCGCTGGAGGAGGTGAGGGCGAAGGTGGTTCTTCGGAAAGTGAAGGGCGCTGTGTGGGATAACAAGGGAGAGTGAGGGACAAGAGAGAGTGACGTACCTAGTGGAGGAGGAGGTCGGCATTGGTGTTGACGTCATCACTAGCTGGTCGTCAAGTCATCTGGTTGCTTCCATGACTGTAGTTGTAGGATAGGCTGTAGAGTAGATAGGGCGTCTGACGCCATTCAGGAGAGAAGGCTACTTCAGGTTATGTTGTTGGTGTTGGCCGATTGGGCTTGGACATTGACTCACGACTTTTGCTGTATCGTTCTCAAATGGATGATTGCTCAGTTCCAATGTGTTATCTACTCTTGCTTTGACTACCTGGACTTCAGTGTGATTTGCAATTGGGATTTCTTTGCTTCGTCCACATTCATGTTCCTTGCAGACGTGTAAGGTTTAAAAAACAATTATTTGGGGGGGTGGCGGGGGGCCCGTTGGCGCAGGGCCCTGGCAAGGATGTGCCGCGTAGCAGGGAAAAAGAAAATAAAATTGGGGGGTGTCGGCAACACCCCATATAAGCACATTGTGTTGCCCCGCCCCGAGACGCCCACCCCCCTCTCCCAGGTCCCCTTAGGGCGAAAGCCCACAACTGGGCAGGCGCAAATGAATGATGGAGCGGGCGTGGTGCTTAATTGCACCACCACCCCGAACAGTGGTACCGGCCTATTAGGAGACAAGGACCTTTTTTTTCTCTCTCTTCCGTCACGGGATGGCGCAGTGTTTATGTTGTATGATTTTTTATTTTTTTTTTGGCCACACAACACCCTCAACGAGGCCCACAGCCAACAAATGTCACGCCCACTGGAAGCGAAAACCGTTTTTTTTTTTTTGCTTAAATAAAAAAAAACAATTTTGACTAGGCTGTTTTCCTGGGCGCCCGGGCACCCAACTTCTGCCCGGGTACACGCCCGGGTGCCCAGCCGGGCATGACCCCCGGGCAGGGTTCCGGGCAGCCCCAGCGCCAAAAAAAAAAAAAAAAAAACTCAAAAAATTATGGAAAAAAAAAATGTTGTGTAGGATCGAAATGCAAACCACTTTTGGCTGAGGGTCACATTATAATTTCTCACAGAATCGGAGATCAAAAAGAAAATAACAGAATCACACAAAGGCACCCTCCTTTAGACCCCTTTAGCCCCTTTAAAACCAATTTATACCCCCCTCCCCCCCCCTTCACAGCCAACTCGCAAAAAACGAAATAAGCCCGGATTTGGAGTCCTCTGGGAGAGCGCAGAAACCCAAAAAAAAAAAAAAAAAAAAATYTTTTTTTTTTTTTTTTTTTTTKCMCSCCCGGGTGCCCGGCCGGGCGTGAGAATCTTCCTAGAATTTTGATGGAAAAATAAAAATAAAAATTATGGGCAGGTGCCCATGGGCACCACGTATAGACCTGTCAAAAAAAAACACAATTCCCGCTCTGCGTGAACTCCATGAAGTACGACGGGTCACAATTTTCCGGCCTTTGTTCACGGACCCCGTGAACAGTGAACGGGGGGTATGGCAATGGTAGAGACGGATCAACATTTTCCAAGACAGGGTAGTGAGTTAGCGCATACTTGAGTTTCTTGAATGCCGACTCGCAATCTGTGTCCCATAACCAAGGTTTCTCTTTCTTTAGCAATCTTCTCATAGCCACAACTATAAGGGAGAAGTTTCTTATGAGCTTCTTGTAATAGCTAGCAAGTCCTAGAGAGGATCGCAACTCAGTGACTGTTTTTGGTCTTGGTCAATCTCTAATTGCTGTATTTTTCTTTTCTTCGGTCCTTAGTCCTTTCGTGGTCAATCTCTAATTGCTGTATTTTTTTTTTCTTCGGTCCTTAGTCCTTCTTCATTTACTATGTGTCCAAGAAAAAGTACGTCACACTTAGCAAATTCTGACTTCTTGAGGCTCAGTTTATAGTTACCTTCTCTTAGCTTGTGTAGAACCATTCGTAGGCGTTTCTCATGATCCTCCAAAGTCTTATTATAGACGAGGATATCATCGAGACACAATCACAAACTGGTCCAACCACTGTCGAAACAGTTCATTCATTGATCGTTGGAAGGTTGCTGACACATTGGTTAGGCCGAAGGGCATCACCACAAACTCCTAGTGCCCATACCTGGTTCGAAACGCAGTGTTATGCCGATCTTCATGTGTCACCTCGACGTGGTGGTAGCCAGACTTCAAATCAATCTTGCCAAAGTACCTGCAACCTTGCAACTGGTCAAGAAGATCGTCAATTTGAGGAAGGGACTTCACGTTCTTTACAGTTACAGAATTCAATCCTTGGTAGTCGATACACAGTCTAAGTTCTCCTTCCTTTTTGGGCACGAAAAGTACAATTGCGCCGTAGGGAGAGGAACTTGGTCTAATCTATCCTTTCTCGGTAAGTTCCTGCAGTTGTTTCTTTAATTCTTCCAATTCCCTTGGAGACATACGGTAATCGGTCCTTTGGGAATTTTACTTGTGGGAATAATTTCAACGGTGTGCTTGATAGCATGGTCAGTTACTCACGTCAGTTCGAACTGCAAGACCTTATACTCGTTAAAATTTTTTTCGGTAGGAGGAGAATAGGGCGAAGAGTACTCAGTACTACTCACCCACATTCTTGATGAGTACCATCATTACATCACGTACCAACTGCTTTTTCGTGACCATGCTTCGGAAAGCAGGAAGACTCATACAACAAAACGACAGTGATGGGCCAGAACCAGACTTGTGCAACAGCTTAATTGATTTCAATTCATATTTTTCATCCGTTAATTTGACAATCTTAGTTTTGAACTTGACTTCAGGGTCGGCTTCCTCGGGCCATGCCCATAATCAAATCAAACAGTAAGTTATTTTGTTCGACTATGAAGATTACCTCGTGAAATATTCACTTACCTTCTTTCGTACAAAAATAACACTTGACGCGATTGACATACTAAAAGACGGTAATGGTGATTTGATCGGCTAATATAGACGTGATAGGTCTTCGTAGGTCCTGCACTCTTATCCCTAAGTGCATCTTTCAAGTTGCCTTCTCAGAGATGTAGGACCGTGTAGACCCGGGATCTAATAAAGCACCGACTCGTGTTCGCGCAATCTCTACATCCGCAATCATCAATTCACCCTTACTTCTTGCTTTCTTAGTCCATGAACTTCGCAAGGCAATCAATTAGAACCAAGTTCATCAAGGGAATAATACAGTGAGACAGAACACAACACTTTTTCAGGGTGGACTGGGTGAAGAGTCGAAGAAGAACCATCCTCTGCCATGTGAGCTGGACGGTTAAAAGGGGTTTGTGGCACCTTACCTTTATCCAAACCTTCTGTTTTAGTAGAAGCAGATGCTACTGTTGCTGGCTGCTCCCTTTTCGGTTCTGGATCAAAGGACACCATGCGATAATGTGTCCCTCAGTGCCGCATTTCAGACACTTTCGGTTATCCATTCGTTCCTACCATGCCTTCTAGGTCATAACCATTTTCTCCCAAGGCCGTCCATAAGCGATGCCAAGATACTCAGGAAAGGAGTGTGACCTCTTCTTCCTTAATCCGCTA